ATTACCCCACGTCGACATCCCGCTGCTCTGACAGGCCGATGCATGACCAAGCACCCAGAAAAGGGTGCTCCCTTTGTGGCATGCATCCTCCTGCTCTGACAGGCCGATGCCTGTGTCCAAGCACCCAGAAAAGGGGCTCTCTCCCTTGTTGGAATGCACCTTCCTCTTCTGGCAGGCCAATGCCTGTATCCAAGCACCCAGAAAAGAGGCTCACTCCATCGTTCGCATGCATCCTTCTCTGACAGGCCAGTGCCTGTGTCCAAGCACCCAGGAAAGGGGCTCTCTCTCCCACAATGGCATGCTTCTCACTCCCATAGGCCGGTGCCTGCGGGGAACACCCCCCTCTCCCCGGACTGCCTCTCCACAGTCCTCGGTCTCCTGGAAGTCAGATGGTCAACCGGACAGAGCCTCCGGCCGCAGTCGTGAGAATACTCTCCGTTCCTCTTTTTGCCTCGGTTTTTATAGGGTTCTGGTCAGTGATTTTTGTCCTCTCATCTAACCAGATGCCGCAGTTTGCAGTTGATACCTTGGGAGGCGACCGTGGGGTGGTGGGTACAGCAATCATCTCCCAACCACAAGGTTGGAGGTTTGAGTCTCGGTGCTGGCAGTCCACGTGTCGAAGTGTCCTTGGGCAAGAGCCATCGGTTGAGTTGGTGCCGCAGATGGCTGCCATCGGTTCTGTACCAGAAACAAATTCCTTGTGTGTCTAACATACATGGCCATTCATTCATTTCATTTTCATTCAAAATCATATTGTTCTGAAGTATTGCATATTTTTTACTGTTAGTCCAAGCCCACTGCCCGTAACCGGCCTCCACCCCACTATGATCCAGCCTTGGATTCTACTTCCTCTTTTCTAGAAAACTAAACCATCTGAATACATAACAAAAATACAAGAAACTCACATCTGACTGAAATATCAAAATTCCATCATTGCTTTTTAACAGAGCACTCAGAATTACACACTGATTTTACACAAACTATCAATGCCTTAAAATCAGAACATAAATCTTTATATTTTGAATACTTTACTTTGACTAACATGGATTATCATTGATTAGACATTGATCAAACAATTCAGTCAAATCTTTACTTTTGTGCTTAAACATCATTTTTGTTACTTCCTCAGTATAGTGTGTGTCTCTGCTCTGTGTCACATAACACTCCTGCAGTTCCTCATTTTAGGGATGTGTGTCTGCTTCCTCTTGTGTGATTCTGTACTTTTCACTTTGTTAAATGTAAAATCAGTTTTCCCCATCCTTTCAGTACAACCATTTCATATTTTATTTAACACATTCACTACTGATTATTTCAAACAAAACACACATCAATCATTTTATGATTATTTTTACTTATTAAAAGCTTAACTTTTCTAAGCATTCTGCCACAGCATTTTAATAATAATTCCTTTGTCCTCTCCAACCTCCCCTGGAACTCTTCCTCTTTCTCCTCTGCCTTCTTTGTATCTCGGTGCTCTTTGAGGCCCGTAATTACAGCCTTGCTGACAACAGGGACTGGCTGTTTCACCTGACCAGGTCTAACCTACAAGCAGCCAGCCTGTGAATCCCCCGTGGTGGTGAATGATCAGCTCATCAACACTGGATTCCCCCGGAGCACAGTACCTGTTTGTTTTGACTGCTTGAGGCCAGTGTGTCTGCTGCATGTGATGTGTTGCTGGTTAACAAGCAGATTAATTATCCATGATGTTATTGTCGGCGCTACACTACCTGTTGGAATTAATTTCAGTACTTTGGGACTGTATGTGGTCGGGTGGGGGAAGACGCAGCAACCACTGGTTGGATTTAGCAACCTTGGAGCTACTTGAAAGGGAGTGATGTTTCTACTACTCAGTGGGACTTAACACTAAGTTTAAAAAAAACACGTTGCATGTCTGTTAATGTCTTGTTTCTGTAACATTAGAGAGAATTGTTGTAAGGCTGGAGAAGTTACTATGTCTGCATTATGCCAGTTAAGATGTGGGGTTTCTCAATTACCTTCTTTGTTTAGAGTGTTACACATCTCTTTTCATCAGTACATATACCGTTGTTGACCTATCTATGGAGGAGACATTCATATTAATTAATGCAATTGCAGTTCGTTGTGCTGTCCACTTGCAACACAACACCGGCAAGAGGACCTGTTCACATTCATAAACTATCCTCTCATTTTTAGGAAGAGGCTTTTGGGTTTTATTGTTCTAAAATAATTACACACTATGTGGAGTTATGATGGATGCCAAACTAATCTAGAGGTACCCGAGATTAAACATTACATGGTTGGAGTCGTGCATGCCATGGGCCTTCAGTGCTTTAATCATAAAGATGTGTATTACTTTCCATTGCTTGGTAAGTAATTTTGAGTTAATTATATGTCCCAGTCGATAATTTGATACCTGGTTTTCATCAATGTATACAGATTACATTAATGTTAGCTAAACTGGCTACCAGATAGGCTTCAGTTCACTATAAGGTTAGGCTATGTGTTATTTACAGTTTTAATTTAATATTAAGTAGTTTAACTTTGGTTAGTCCACTTATGTGACAGCTGGAGAAGAGTGACCTAATAGTTTTACATTTTTTAATTACCATTACAAGAGGAGCAAACTAGCAAAAGATCAATACATTTTATTGCCCATTTCCTGGTGACCCACTTTTCAACAGAGCTGTGTGTCTCTTAAGTTTGTTACCACATGGACTTTAGCTGACTAAGATTCTTTTTTGTTTTATGGTCACTGCTGAAACAGCTAATTTAAAGTTAACATTTGCATAAGCACGTCGGTTAGTTATACCTTCTTCCACTACTTTATAAAACATTTAATATTTAATATGATATTATGAGAAAGACTTAAATATTTTTATTACTACTTTAG